AATATTACTGAGCAGATTTTATTTACTGACTTAGATAAACAGGTTTTACTCTTCTAGAAATTTGTTTTTTATCTCAAGAGATGTGATCTGTTTCACATTAAAGAAAAAAGCTTTAAAAAAAATTGAACGCTCGTTTTCCAACGAGAAGATGAAGACATTGAGAACTGCGATTAACAACATTACAGGTGCTAGCTTCATTGCATCATGATGCTATGCAAAGTGCAAATCCAGCATAGCAGGAATAGCATGTCCACTTTAAATGACAGAAGTTATAATTAGCTGCTGGGGTTTTATAAGGGTTCTCTCAATGTGACAATTACAGGTATGAGTAACTCAGCAGGTTATGCTGGCCTCAGAATCAGTTGTTGTGTGTGTTCCTGTTTCTTTTCTAGTACTTGCCTTAGGTTTTTGTAGCAGTGGTGGATTTGGTCGTAACTGCAAGAAGCCAGACGTTATTTTTTATTCCATTTCCTGGTAGGGAAAAAAACAAACAAGCCCTTATTTGAAGCACCAAAGAAAATGTTAGCTTGCTCCACTTGCTGACACTGTTATTTTCTGTAATTTCCAATTTAAGAGTATGGAGTTCTTTAGCTGTCTGAAACTGTCTAGATGCTGGACTCGTGGATGGATATTAGGAAATAGGAAAAAAAATACTGCCTAGTAGTCAGCTGCCAAATGACTGGGGAATAATTGATGGAGTGTCACTAGTTAACATGAAAGTAAAAGCAAGAAGTCTTAAAAATCATATCAGAAGCTGTCACCTTCATTTCAAATGCCTTCAAAACAGGGCTTTTGTGGGGAAATAATCCTGCGTATGTAGAAGAAAAAAGAAAGATGCATCTAAAAGCATTTCTAATTAAAAACTCTCAAGCTGATGGATTTGTCGTCTGCAGTGTAGAGACATCAGGTTATTAAGTGGGTCCCTGTGTTCTTCTATGACTGTATCTGTGAATGTTAGTCCAGATAACCCTTAACATACTGTGTATAGGCTTTTTACCCTCTGTCATAGGCTCTGTGAACTTGCTGCAAAATAGACTAATCTTTCACCTGTAGTCAAGTACAGACTTAATGCTTCCTTTCTTTTTGGAGAAAGTCACCATTTCTCTCTCACGTTTCATTGTGACCCTTTTTGCCTGCTTGTATTTCAGCAGTCTGTGTCATTTTAATGTGCCATATCAGATAAATGAAGTAATTTTATTGAAGCAGACTTTGAAGAGTACTATTGATTATTTATGGAGACATGCTATTTTAATCAAAGTTAATTCATTTAAGCTGTCATGGTGATTCAGTGTAGTAATGTGCTTACGCTTCATGCTGGATAGTAGGTTTGTATTCTAGATGGATACAACCAATTCAGAGGCTGTCATATCAGTCAGTTGGCATAGAAGTTTGATGGCAGTGGTGGTTTAACGTCGTGACTGACTCTGCAAGAGACTTGAAAGCATTCATGTCAAGTTATTTAAAAAAAAAAAAAAAAGGAATAGTTTGGCTAATAACAACCCTGCGAAACTAGAGTGTTTTCTCTACCCTTTGCGCACAAGGGGGTGCGGAGTTGCATGTGGAGCATTAGCTAGAAATACCCAGCTCCTTCTGAACAAGTAGGTTAGCTGTGCACTGGGGAGCCCTATGCTTGGTCTAGAGTTTCTGCACTGTGTGTGTGTGTGTGTGTGTGGTTTAGATGTGCTGCTTTTGCAGCATTTCTAGGTAGTTATTAACTTTTCCAGTCAAATGACCTAAAGGCGAGGATGTGGCTTGACTGAATTGTTCCAAGAGCCTGGCAGAGGCATGGGAGAGTCTCCCGACTCCCTGGCCTGGCCTTTTAATGGAAGACCATTTTTACCCTTGTGTGAGCATGCAGTAGTCTAGCAGCTTACACTAGTTTGTGTTGGCATCATCTTGCGTGATTAGGTAAGAGCTGAGGGTACTTCAAATGCTATAAGTCATTCTGGCTTGTGATGAGTTGAATCTTCTGGATTGTTTTTAAAAGAAAAAGACAAATTAGGTAGATGTACCACAGTAAGTGACTCAATAAATAGCCTTTAAATTATCTGCATTTAGGTATAGGGTGCTTTAATAACAACTATCCTTCAGATCATCTTGGCTGCTTATGTGTGTCACTCCTAGAATTAATGTTGTCTAAATAAGTTTCTGGTCCTACAGGTCTTTATCCAGTCCTGTGTTCTGTCTGGAGTAAAAGAGCCATTATCAGCACTGTGCTAGGAAAGCAGTGACTTAGGTTTGCTTCTGAAGTGAGTGACAGAGCCCTAGTACTCAAATGCTGACTTCTGACTGTTTTGCAGCACAGTGGTCCTTATTGATCTTTGGAGTTAGCAACTACTTACTTATCTGTGAGGAAAAGACCCAAAACCCAGACCTGGACATTTGTGATGCAATGTTGTCAGTTGCTGATAAAACTGACCTTTGGGCATACCGAGAGCTTACAAGTGGAGATGATGAGGCTAGGACGTGACCTGCACTCTGGCCTGTCCACAAGTTAAACAGATAAAGATCAGTATTCTCTGAATGTCATGTTAGCAGCAGATGCTCTGCAACACTGCAGCCTCTTATGTAGTAGTAATTTCTGAATACCCAAAATGTGTTTTGCTGTATGTTCTTTTTGTCACTGTATGTAGGCAGATGGGTTTTATGGGGAGGTAAGGTCATTTTGTTTTGTGTGTGTGTGTGTGTTTATTTTTCCCCCCTTCTTAAGTTCCCCACTTAGGGTATGCTCCTAAGTGCTCGCTTTGCTGAGTGCTCACAATGCTTATTGTATCGTGTCCACTTAATGTTTGCTGAGTGCTGCTTTCTCCTTGGAGCCCAATGGGTGCCAGCACTGAGGAGCAGTGGCGTCAGTTCTCAGCCTTACACAGGCTCCCTGGATCCCAGGATGTTTACTAGCCTGACGAATTGTGTTGACAGGCTCTTATTTATCAGTTGCTCAATGGGAACTTTTCCTACTCCTAATCAGATATGATACAGCAACTTTGGTTTGTTGACAGGCAAAAGTGTATCTAAAAGAAAAATCTTTCCACCTGGTTTATAATGTCTTTAACTATTTGTACCTGAACGTCTTAAAACTTTTGATCTTACTATTAAGGTTTAAACTTGATTAAACTTTTTTCTAAAATGATTAGCTAATTTAAGGTGTGCATTGTCTTCTCATTCTTAGATCTTGTCATCTTTCTTCTTATATGGTAACTTTTATTTATGCAACAGCACTGTTAATGAATGTAGACTGCACACAAGAACTCTTGTTCCTGAGAGTTTTTAATATATTTTACCTTTTTCTCCCTGCTGAGTCTAATTTAGTTTTTCCTTTGGTTTCCCTTCTGTTATTCCATCTGTTTGGCTTAACTGTTTCATTCTCTCCTAAGTGTTCTGTGTTCACTAATCCTTGTACCTACTTCCCTTCACAGCTTAGTTCAGTTTCAGCAGTGAGGTTGGCATATCTTTCATTAAGATGTTCCAGGAAGAGCTTTGGTTTTGAGTAGTCAAGACTGTTAAGTCAAAATCCTTCCTTCTGTCTCTCTCTCTTTTTTTTTTTTAAAATTTATTTTTATTACTACTTGCTCATGCCATCTATGAAGCTATTGGCATTTTGGAAAAATGCTGTAACAGGTCTGGTTTCTTGCTTCTCAGCATGTCTTGTTCTTTCCATTATTCCATAGTTTCCAAAGGCTATAAAGATGGTTCTCCGAGTAAAATGAATGAAGTAAAATGAGACAGGTGGACCTCAGTCCTGCAAAATGTGCATGTATTCTTTATTTCATGTGCTGGAAGTCCCACTGATTGCATTACTGGAAGATCGCCATTTATGCTTTGAGTCACATTACTTGAAACTTGGGAAATCACATTGGGAAATGGCCAGTTCACAAATCAAACAGCTCTTAAGACTAACCACAATAGATGCAATAAGAAATTCAGTGGTTCATAATACTTTTTAGGAGAATTTTCTCGTTAGCATTTGAAAATAATTGTTTAAATTTTGAAATTTTGAGTCTTATTGGGTTATTAGGTTAGTACTCAGAGATCGAGATCAATATCTTAGTAAGGTCATTAGTTCTTTGAGCCCAGAAGGATTTTGGTAAACAGATATTTCTTAACTGTATACATATATAAGCTTTTTCATTCTCAAAAGCAGGAAAGAAGCAAGAGAGGTCACTTTCCATGAGCAAGTGTTAGAGCAAACAGAAACACTGGTGGGGAAAAAAGTTCTTTTCTGTCAAAATGCTTGGATGTGCTGTCATAAGCAGAACCCTGTTCAAAGCACATGGGAATCTCAGAAGATTTCTTTCATTCCTTCTATGGAACCATTTTCCATCAGAAAATGGACGTTTGTTAAAACAGTGCGCTTCAAATTCTATGTACTTTTGTGGTATCGTTTTGCAAGGAGGAAGGGAAACATTTTTACTAGCAGTGGTACTTTTTCAGGTATTGTAAAAAGATATATATATTTTTTTAACTCTTGTAACACCTTATATGAGTTTTGAAGTTCCTATAAATATATGTTATTTGAAATACGTCTTTGTGGTCTTTGTCAGAACAGTTATTTAAAAATACTTTAATACAAAATTATTCCAGGCATTACTCCTTATTTGATACGCTGTTCCATTCTCTGCACAGTGGTACCAGTAATTTAAAAAAAAAAATCTATATTTTCTCAAATAAGAACTTAAACTTAAGTAAGTCTGTATTAGTAGAAGGGCTGCCTTTTAGAGAAACTACTTTTTAGCTAATATTTAATGGAGAGGGGGAAGTAACTTTTTCAGCACGTTATCGAATTATGGGTTTTTTTTTTTCATTTACTTGAAAAGTTCCTGTGTTGTGGAAATACAGTTAACCTTGTAACTGCTGTTACAAGATGATTCAAGCAGCATCAAGCAGTCATCTCATGTGCTTGCCTTTAAGCAATACATTTACACTGTCAGAATGATGCTTGAATTTATTTTGATGGTTCTGCCTCTGAAATATATTTGCCTATATTTTGTTGTTCACAGGAACCATCCATACACAGAGATGAAACGATGAAGAGAAAGCAGAACGAATAATAATGCTTTTCCGAAACCGGTTTCTGTTTTTGCTGGCTTTGGCAGCCTTATTAGCCTTTTTGAGCCTCAGTCTACAATTCTGTAAGTGTATCCTCCTGTGTTTTCTGTTTATGGGGGTATATAGGTGTGGTTAAGAATGGTCAGGCTTACTCTGTTGTTATTTAAACATTCAGTTTGTATTTAAATATTCATAATTTTTTCAATAATAAAAAAGTAAATGCAAAAATAAAAAGTGTGATGTGCCATATAGAAAGCTACAAACGGAGTGTTTTCAAATAAGGCCACTTCAGAAAAAGTCTTAATTTTGTAGTAACAGTGTAATTAAGTAACTGAATATAGTTGAGTCCTTCAGTGAAACTAAACAAAAAAATGTTTGAGTAAAAACTACAGCAATTCCTGTTTTATGTTGCATCAAACTAAATGGGACTGAGAAAAAGCAGTGAGGGGACTGAGTGTTGGAACGTCCCCTTATTTGTGCGTTTGCATTAGGAAACTTTAAAGGGTTGAATTGGCTCAGTTTGGTTGGCCACTGGCTTGTTTGAGAAAAGGTAAATTACGTTCTGCTTCAAGTCAATTAGTCACGGGTAAACCCAGAGGCCTATCACTTACGGACGAGTAGGAGAACGATAGTGCTGAACAGCATGTTTGTTTATGCTGACAAATAAGCATTGTGCGAAATGACTCCTTACTGCCTAGTTCATGAATGATAGTGTTTGCTAAAGTGGTGTTGTGTGCAAACCTAGTATGTGCCAATGTAATTAATTGCTGATAGAAGGCAAAGAAAAATACGTGTATGAAATATAAGCGAACACTTTTTGTCTTGCATCCTTATTTTACCGTAGGTTTTAGCATGGTTTAACTCCCTGTGGCCCTCCCACTGGTTTTGTGTGTGTGGTGGTTTTTGTTTTTGTTTTTAAGTTTTGGTAGAATGAGTTATTTTCTGGTCTGACGCTAAAAAAGATAGAGAACTAATTTGGATTTAGAAAATGTCTTTTGTATATATTGAACAGTTGTTTGGGGTTTTTTATTTTTAAACCTTGTGGGTTATGTTACATTCTTTGTGTTTAAACTAATCTGCATGTAACACAGAAACCCTTAGCTTCAGATTGCTTTATCTGGGCTCCCATGGGTACTTGCCAAGTTCATGTGACTGCAGCTTACTTTGCTCTTTGGGTTCTTTATGGGTCTGCCCTGATGTTATATGCTTGGTTATGAATTCTGTACAGGGTGAAGGTGCTAGAGGAACCTCAGCAGAAATGTAAAACTGAATTGCTCACAAAAATGAGCTTTTCTTAAAGAAGAAGAGGTAGGCATGTAGGAGAGTCAATCACCTGTCTTCAAAAATGCAAGTTAATTTCCTGCTTATTTAAAAGGTAACGTTTCTGCAAGAGGGATTCCTGGAGATCAAGAAGTTTGAAGGGGTGCTTTAAAAAGCACTTATGCTGCAGCAAGCAGCCATCGTGAAGGTTAGTGCCAATACTGAGATACATGTGGAGATTTTTACATGAGAACGACAATACACGCTGGCAGGAACCAAGTAGTTTAAAATGTACAGATGGCCTGATATTTCAACATCTACCAGCTTCAGCTTGTAGAGAGATTAGTTCAAAATCAGAACAAAGACTGTCTCCAAAACAGGCAAAACTTGCTTCTGTCACCATATAAAACTGTTAGGGGAACAAGCTGGAGTCTGCAGAACTTAACCAAACCAAAGTCCTAAAACTGAAGACAAGTCCTCCCATGCTGAAAATGCTGTTTCAGCACCTTTCTTCTTTCCTTGTTGTGAATCTGTTGCACCATCACACAGTTCAGAGGTGTGCTTCCCCCTCTGCTCGTTTGGTTCTCACTGTTGCACGAAGTAGCAGTAATATAACCTCTTGTTTCATATATAAAGTATTTTTTTGAAAGTGTTAAATGCTCATTTGCTCTTTCAACAGACCATAAAATCTGATTTCCAAATATTAATCGTTTCCTTGCGGCCCAGAGCAAGTTTTAGTTTTATTGCTTTATAATTTGTGTCAGATCATAGGAAAAAAATGAGTTTATATATAGAGAGAGATATATAGAGAGATATATGTGTGTTATATATGCCCACACACACATATAAAAATCAGTATATATCTTTTTATATATAAACATATTTAGACTCTAGAAAATGCCCAAGCCACTAATTTTTACTTATATTTGAAGGGAGGTATCTCCTGGAAATTTTGGAGTGGAAATGGATCTTTTATGCTGTTGTGAAACTGAATCTGGTAGCTAGCAGCACAAAGCTTTGGGGAGGAGAGCTGGTCATTTCAAAACATACCGCTGCTTTTCTAAGCAGTGAATGTTGAAAATGTCTCTCTGTGCTAAATATGTTTAGACACGTGAAAGAGGGACATAAATGCATAATTATATAAATTATATGTATCTTCCTTTTCTTAAAATTCTGCTTTAGGGCAGAGCATCGCTCCAGTGTCCATCATGTGTCCAGAAGCTTGACACATTTCTCTTCTTGTCCCTGTGTGGAACTGCAGCAGTCTGAAGCCAGACCTGTGAGAGTTGTAGCTGATTCTGAAGTGAAGGGGGCAGTGATGGCAGAGTTCAGAGGGTTTTCCGTAGGTTCTGACTTGATAGTGTGAGCAGCTCAGGCTGGGATGGCTGGCAAGGTTACGGTCTGTCCCATGCTCGAACTGTGAGGGTGCAGGAATTGCTTGCACCAGTTTACAGCCTAGTATTTCAAATCAAGCGGAAACTGGTGCTGGTTTATTTTGATAGGTTATGCTGTGAAGGGTCTGGAACTGCTTTAAGAGCAGTGATTTCTGCAGCCATGATGAAGTGGAGTTGATGGGTGTCATAAGGGTCTGCAGTCTCAGTTCAAGTCCGTTCTTCCTTGTAAAACAAAGTCCCAAGGCAACTGTTTCAGAGTTAACAATTGCCACGTCTGAGGTTTAGAAATAAGGAAGAGAAACAATGGGGGCGAAACAGCCAGTGTCCTCTGTGTACAGATCTGTATTTGTAGACTGGGGACAGACCCAGAATTGATGGATCACTTTATCTCCCACTTTGATGTATGTCTTGGTCTCTTTGAATGGAAAGCATGAGCTCCATTCCTGAAGGGAACTGGAAACGTTCCAGTGGTGGGAAAGGGTTCCCCAGCAAGGACTGAGAGCAGGAGAGCCCTGTTGTGGGGGAGGGGAGAGGGAGGGAAGGCTGCCATTGCTATGGGTCTTTTCCTTCTACCTGTTTCCATCTCTCTTAGGGCTGCTAATGGAAAAAATTCATTAATTCTTTGCCTTTCAGTTAGAAAAAGGAAAATTCTGGAATGGTATTTCCATGTTCCTGACAACAACATATGTCACTGTGCTTTGACACAGTCTTTGTATTACTCATGTTTACTATCTCATTCTCCAAACAATATTTCTACTACCCAGTATCTTTTATGTAGAAGAACGGGCCTCAGAGTTGTGAGACGTCTACCCTGCACATCATCTTTCTGAGGCAGAGGTGGCACTGAAGTGTCTCTTAAGATTATCTTCTAAAGTGGCTTCTGAGTTCTGATTTAAACTAGTCTGCTTTTCTGTGTTTTTCCCAAAGCTAGTACCCTACACAGAGGATAGAGCATGCTCTTTAATGCTATTTAACTTGCAAGGTGAATCATTGGGAAAGCTCCCCCCTCCCACCTCCAACCTGTTTTGGCAACAGCTGACTGCTTTGAGTGCCAGAAGTGCTGAAATCATCCCAACAGCAGTTAAAATGGATTGACATGGACAAATTGGCAAGGACCACTTCTACCCGAGCAGAAGCTGTCATCCACCTTGTCTGGAATGTCATGATACCAGAAATAGAGAAGGCAGCCTTGTGGAGCGTTCGGTTTGCATTTGTCAAACATTGCATGCGGGACTGCGTTGCTGGACCAGATGCCGGATCTGGAATACTGGTCTCTTAATTTCTCATCCGTACAACTAAAACTTCCTCATGTGCACTCTCCTGAGGAGAGGGAGGTATATAAGCAGACTCCACCTTGCCAAATAGTTGGAAAAAGTGTAGGTTTTTTGTTTGCTTGTTTGTTTTTAATTCTATTATTACTCATTCTTCAGAGTAGTGTAGTTGTGGATCCCACAGCATACCTTCATTCCGGCTGCTCGAGTCCTCTGTTACTTAGGCTTTGGGCAGTGAGGGAGTTGAACAGTTCTTTATGCCCTGATGTGTAGGAATTAAAGGCGTAGAGTATGTGTACGGTCTTCATATGTGGAACAGATTCGAAGCTTATGTGCCTGAGGTGTATGCCTACTTTCTGGGTATTTTGGTTGTTTTCAAGCTATGGGTATTTATTTACATACATGCATATTTCTTGAGTGTTCAAAAACTTATTAAAATATTCCAAAATTTATTAATGATTTTCCCAAGATTGTCTACAATTTCTAGCAAACGCACAGAAGACTTCTTTAAAAGAAACTTATACCATATGCTTGATGAAAAATGTACTAACAAGTCCTACAGTTCTAGGCATCTTCTATATAATGTTGTGGCTTAGCTTTTGAGGCAAAGGACTGGAAGTGAAATGTATTTTCAAATTCAGTTTGGCTATTAACAAGTTGTGCAGCATGAAGCCTGGATCAGATGAGCAAAAGAGACTACTTTAATGGCAAATGCCTCAACATTTGATGGTATTTTTTAATTTTTCAATAGCATAGAAAAATAGAAATATTAAACCCAGATTACGAAAATGTTCCACTGCTGACTGAAAGCATACTGCAACATCTCTCTAACTGGTAGATAACTGCAATGAGAGTTTATGTTTGGGGATCCCATTGGATAGGGTGTCTGGTTGACGTCCAAACCAAATACAACTGACAGCTTAAAGTTTTGTTAGCATTTGTGATTGCTTCCCTATTGTTTTATGTTTGAATTCATATCTGTGTGAAAGACTGAAGAAATACGTTTCTCATGGTATTTATCACTGCACGTGTGCCTTTTTTTGCCTGTTTATGTAAGTGGTCATGACTCTAAAACAAATTAAAATGCTTTCCCAGTGTAGACAGAGAAGGAAAACTGTTTTTGGTGGACTTTTAATTTAGACTATTCTAAAATGGAAT